TTAAAGCAGAAGATAAAGCTACAAGTTGCAGAAGTAACTAATAAATTGTTTTTTCCAAATAAAAATAACTTAAATGAGTTGCCTATAAAAGCTACTTGAGTGATGACATTACGGAGTTATCCTAACAGGAAGATTAAAGTAAGGGACTGAAATAAAAGCACTGGCTTGACTCAGCACTTGAACCTGTGAAACTCTCTCTTGTGAGGTGAGCAGGAAGCCGGTGGTTTCTACAAACTGAGTTTCTTGCCCTTGCAACTGGGAAACATCCTCATCTCACCTGTGTCACCGCCTCAGCCCTCTTGGCTCCAGGACTCTCAAACTCTCTCTCAGAATAGTTGGTGTTTGCCTACAGTCTTAACACTACCAGAATCTGAATTAATAATTTAAACAAGGCCTAACTAAACTACTTAAATGGTGACTAAATGCCCTCCTAATTACAGAGGACACATTTGTAATTAAGTAGCTTATTGCAGGAGCTGCAGTACCAAGTCACGGAGAGCAGAGCATCGCTCATACATACACATCTCCAGTCTAGATGGGCTAAGTGAAGAGGCTCGCAATAGATTAAGTGAAAAATGTATGTCAGGATGCACTTCTGAGGATAGCATTCTCCTACACACTTTTCCAAAGGAAAAGTTCCTCCACTGACTAAGTTATGAAGTGCAACAGCTACAGGTCCAAAACTTCATTTTAAACATAATTTGTGGTCTTAATGTATACTCAAACATACTAACAACAAAAAAAAAAAAAAGAGCAGATTAAACAAAGTACCATCAGGTTGCCAATCTGCTACAGAAAAACCTGTGCTTGTCAAGACATAGTTCATATGCAGAAAGAAAAAAAAAAAAAAAGCAAGATCTATTGAATTTTGTCTTACAAAGATCACAAACTGGATCCTTTATTTCTGGTGTGAAGATAAACAATCAACTACGTTTTTATAAGTAAATATGCACACAGGGGCGTACAAACAGGTCTGCCTGTCATATTGTGGACACGTCTCAAGCACGATTTTGGCTGAGACAGGTCACTCATCCTTGTGGCTGAAGCGAAGGAAGTGCCAGACGCTGTTATCAGAGCGCAGGCTGACGAGCACCATTCTGGGGGCGTTTGCTTCATTTTCAAAAGGACTAAGTAGCAGCCCCTCTTCCACAGCAGGAACCGCAGAACAGGTGAGCAGCTTCGCTTTCAATTCGGATTTCAGCATGGGACAAGGCAGTTAGTGACCTTTATAACAAGTCTTCTCAAAATCTGCTTTCCTAAGTAGAATTTTTATTTATTGGGTTTTGTAGTCCACGTGTCAGCTAAAAACAGAGTCATCTAAAGCCAGAAGGAAATAATGCTCTTATGCTCAAAAGTCAATGACGCCAGTAATCTGACAGAACCAAACAATGCAAAACATTGTAAATTAAGCAGGTATCAAATATGAGATGTTTAATAAACACATAAACACATTTTTCCCCTTCAAATTTCCTAATGTCTGAGAAGGTAAGGACTTCAAGATACACATAGGAAGAACTGATAAAGAAGAAATATTTTTACAACAGCACTAGTTTGATATCTCAGCGAGAGTTGCCATCAGCAAGTAAATTAGCACCTACTAGGCAAGAGTCACCACTACAAAAACCTTGCACAGAAGCCATAGTCCACCTTTTCCCTTGGGCACACAGGAGCAGCCCATCCAGCTTCCCAAGGAGCTGCGCCTGCACATACACCCGGGCTGACATATTTTTGGTTTCAGTATTAACAGGGATGTTAAGCACTCCTACACAAGGAAGCGTTTCTTCCGCGGAACCTCGCCTAGAAGCAGCGGGATGTTCCTGGGGCCGTGCTGGCCGCGCGTGACAGCTGGCGGCTCCCTGCGCTTCCGCGCGTGGAAGATTCCTGAAGGATGCGTTCAAGGGAGCCGCACGCCTCCGCGCAAGGTAACTTTTGGCTGCTTTGCCTCGAGTTGCCGGCTACCATTTCCCTGGTACGGCTCAGCCCCACACATAAAGCACCCTTCCCATTTCCTTGCAGGAGGGGTGGGATAGGAGGAAGGCGGGAGAAGGGATTTCTTGAAGGAGAAAGGAGCACAGAAAACGGTCACAGGGCATTTCAGAAGGATTTT